GCATGTGGGAGAAGCTGTGCTCATCCCTATCTCACAGCTGAGTAACCTAAAGCTAAGACATACTGTATTTGCCGGTGTATAAGATGACTGGGCGTATAAGACGACCCCCTAACATTTCCACTCAAAATACAGAGTTTGTTATATACTCGCCGTATAAGACTACCCCCTCTTCCGCACACCTTCCACAGTCTGGTCCACCCTTGCATCAGCATCTCCCTGGGACCTCACTAGTGCGCAAGTGCGAGCTCTTCAACATTAACAGCCGAGCATACACCCAGCAGCGCTGCTGATGCCTGAACGGTATGTGGAATGAAGTGGGCGGGCATCGGGAGGCCACTATGGCACGGGGCAAGCACTATGGGCAGTCTATCTGAAGTGTACCTGGCGTATAAGACGACCCCCCACTTGGAGGCATATTTTTCAGGGCCAAAAAATCGTCTTATACGCCGGCAAATACGGTAAGTCACTTGCCCAAGTTCACACAGCCAGCAAGTGGCAGAGTCAAACTTTGTACCCAGATCACCTGCTTCCAGAGCTCAGGCCTTAAGCCACCATTCTGAGCTGACGGACCATTCTTGCCAAGACCCCTCCATGCTTCAGCTCATGCCAGCTTCTCTCAACTGGGCCCTGTGTCCCAAGGTTGCTGCTTCCGACCTGAGAGACCTTGCCCCAAGTGACTTCACCTCTAGTGGGAACGGTGACAGGACCCGCCCAGTGGGGTCAGTCACAGTCACACAAACCAGCACTGACACAACTAACTCTGCGGTCCCTGTCATCATAGTCCTCGCCCTGGGTCCTGCGGCCATCGTTTCCCTGCTGCACTCTGTCCTGGGATTGGCCTACCCTGGGGCGGCCCTGGGTCAGCAGAGGCCAGGTCTGCTCACATCTGGGGGCCTTTCTTCCCAGGCCCACACCATGTACCAGGTGGGGCTGATGGAGACGGACCAGCACATCGAGTTCTTCTGGGGGGCCCTAGAGATGTTTGCCCAGGAGGAGCTGTGCAAGTTCATCAAGTTTGCCTGCAACCAGGAACGCATCCCATTCACCTGCCCCTGCAAGGACGGAGGTCCCGACACAGCCCATGTGCCCCCATACCCCATGAAGATCGCCCCCCCAGATGGCACAGCAGGTACTGCCTTCCCTGGTCATGTGCCAAGTCGGGAGACACAGGCCCTTCTCTGATTAGAATGGGGCCCTGCATGAGGGGGGGAGAACAACAGCTCAGGGACCCTAAACACTAAAGCCCAGATGTAAGTGGCAGAAAGGCCAGAGGTCACATGCCTTCCAAACCAAGTAGCAATACAGGTCCAACCCTATATAATAAAGATGTAATATGCAAATGGTCATTAGGCCATGCAGCGTAACAACCGACCAAGAAATGACCGGATCACAGATCAGCAGGAGGGTGGGGCAGCAAGCTACAAGTGGGTGGCAGAGAGCTACAGGAGGGGGCAGAGGGGGCGGAGGGAACTATATGAGGGCAGGGCAGCAGGCGGAGAGCTACAGGAGGCCGGCAGCGAGCTACTGGCTACAAGTGGGCAGCGGAGAGCTACAGGAGGGGGCAGGGCAGCAACTGGTGAGCTACTGGCACATGGATTCATGTGCGGGGCTACTAGTGTTGATATATTTTCTAATATTTGTAAAAGCTAAAAATCTAGACATGTTTTAATCTTTCAACTTTTAAATGCAGCAAAAGAGCCCTAGCAGGTTTGGCCCAGTGTTTAGAGCATTGGCCTGCAGACTGAAGGGGTTTGATTCCAGTCAAGAGCATGTACCTCAGTTGCAGGCTCGGCAACCAATCTATGTGTCTCTCTCACATCGGTGTTTCTCTCTCTCTCCCTCTCCTTTCCATTCACTCTAAAAATCAATGGGAAAGAAGATAAAATAAATAAGTAAAAACCAATGGAAAAAATATCCTTGGGTGAGGATTTTTTAAAAAATTGAAAAAGTAAATAAATGCAGCAAAATAATTTAATTAAAAAACAAACCCTTTGCTGTCTGCAACAAGATGGCTCTCAGGTCAGCAGTCTGGTGCCTGTGCTGGACAGCAGTGGTGTGTCTGCCTTTTCTCCTCCAGACTCCTCTCCTGCACCACCTCCCGCCCATGCGAGAGGCCGCAGGCCCAGCCCTCTAACACGGACCCCGTTTTTCCCGTAGGTTCCCCAGACTCTCGCTACATCCGCGTGGAGACCTGCATGTTCATGATCAAGCTTCCCCAGTACTCCTCTCTGGAAATCATGCTGGAGAAACTGCGTTGTGCCATTCACTACCGCGAAGACCCCCTGAGTGGCTGAAGGGAGGGAGCTCCAGAGTTAGGCTGTCACCGAGGCACTGCTCTGCCGGCTTGGAAAGCCTGCCGCTGCGGGCATGTCCCTCCAGGGAGGGCCCTGCGTGAGGAGTTGGCGACATTTTGCTTTTCTCAACTTTTGTCCACATTCCAGGCCTCCTGGAAGACTTAACCTTTTGTATTTGTACGTTCGTGATGGGTTGGTTCTTTTGCTACCGTTCATGGTGTTTGTAGGGTAGTTTAGTTCCCAGTTTGTGTCTCATTTGATCTTCCTGGACACTGTCCTTCGTGGCCACCAGATTCTGATGCCCTAGGGCCCCAGATGGTTCCACATCACAGAACCACCCAGCAGGAAGCTGGCGATGGGATGCCAGCGACCACTCAGAGTCCTGTTCCTGCCGAGAACACATCCACAAACAAGCCTGTGGCCAGGCCTGCCCCACCTGCCTGGAGCCGGAGTTTCTCCTGGACACGGCTCCTGCAGGCCTTCTCCCATCTTGACGTGGTTGGACCAGTTACCTAAACGGGAGGTTTGTGTGTGAATCTTCAGAGCCTTGTTCATGGTCGGGGCTTTTCTGAGGAAAAGTCCACAGTGGCCTCCCCCTCCCTTCCCATTCAGACTCTGCTCTCCGTCAGTTCTGGGCCCTGGTCCGCGTTTCCCCGAGTGCTGCTCGGGAGCAGGCGACCAGAGGGTCCTTCTGACGTTGGCTCGCAGAGGCAGGCGGCTGCGTCCCACTCCAGGAGGTGAGAGGACACCTGGAGTCGGAGGGACAGTGCTCCAGGCGGACTGGATAGGAAAACACGTGACGCAAGCCTTCCCCGCTTCTGGGCTCAGACGCGGCCCTTCCTCGCTGCAGTGGGATGAGCTGAGGACAGGGTCCCGAGCCCACTTGAGAGCTGTCTGAGGTGCTCTGCTCAATTCGGGGTCTGCTTCAGTGACTAAGACCTTCCAGTCCAGATGGAGACGCAAGGGAGGTCCTTCTGCCCCCCGGCTGGGCCCACCCAGCACCCCCCTCGCTGCCCCATGTGTGTGCCAGGGCTGGGCTGCCCAGCTCACCCACTGCCCCAGTGCATTTGTGCCCCCACCCCGGGTCTTTGTCCAGTGGTACTTTGTTGAAGAGCAGCATATGCCATCTTGTTGGACTGTCATTTGGGCCTTGCCAGTTCTCACAGAATTCATCACTGTATTTATTGTATAATATTGTGAATATTGAAGTTCTGAGTGAGTGCTGAGAGGTGGTTTTGGAGTGTGAATGCTGGTGAGAGGAGGATGTGCTCCTCCTTCCTCTGCCTGTTGGAAACGTGGATTTTTGAGCCGTTAGCATCCCATCTCCTCCCTGTTATTCCTAGGAACTGCATTAAGGACCATTGTAGAAAAGATCCCCTGCCCCAAGGAAAAGATAAACCTGGGTTAGTCCCGTTGTATCACTTGTATGTGATGCGGGACCAGTGTCTGGAGGTGAGTGCCTGCAGTGTCCCCGTCTGGAAAACGTGGTTGGCCACAGCCCCCTAGACTGGAGGTCACAGCAGGATGTAGTCCTGACAAGGATCCTCTTGTTTCATTTCTGCATAATGAAAGAGCCTTTGGATTTATTAGAAGTGGTTTTTCCTCCTGTATTTTTAAATTCTTAGTTCCCTTTAACCCTTCCCATCCCTTGAATGAACTCAGAATTCTGTTCGCTACCTCCCCATGAGGGGGTTGGGAAGCTTCTGTTGGCCAATCACTTGATTAGATGATAGCTGTGAGTTATCTGCTGCTAACATGACTGCTTCTCCCAGAGAGCACATTGAGGTCCAGACAGATCTAAACCTTGGCCCTAAAACACATGTGCTGTAAAGTTACTTGATGTGTATTTATTATAATTATTTATGGTTGCATTTAACAAACTTTTCATTCAGTTTGATGCTATTTACACCACTGCTGTGTAAAGAAAGCTCACTACAGGAAAAAAGTCTCACCAATAAATAATCTTCATCTAATTTTGATTTTCCCTAAGAATTGTGTGATCATCTACTCTTTTTAAAAAAAATTTCATTTTTCAATTACAGTTGACATTCAATATTTCAGGTGTACAACACAGTGATCCAACATTTATATGTTATGATTACACAGATCTAGTATCCACCTGATACCGTAATTAGTGACTGTATTCCCTGTACTATTTTTTACAACCCATTTGACTGTTTTTATAACTGGCTATTTGTACATCCTAACCCCTTTACCTTTTTCACTCATCTTCCCAACCCCCCTCCCATCTGACCACCATTCATTTGTTCTCTGAATGAGTTTCTTCATTAGGTCCATCCATGTTGTCGCAAATGGCAGTATTTCACTTTTTATGGCTGAGTAATATCCTATTGTACATTTACACCATATCTTCTTTATCCATTTATCTACCGACAGACACTTAGGTTGCTTCCATGTCTTGGGTAAGTAATGCTGCAGTGAGTATAAGGATACACCTATCTTTTCAAATGAGTGTTTTAGATTTCTTCGGATCAATACCCAAAAGTGGGATTACAGGACCATCTGGTAGTTCTATTTTTAATTTTTTGAAGAACCTCCTTACTGTTTTCCATGGTGGCTCTGAGAAGGCGCTACCCCTGGATCTGCTAGGGTTCCAGGAAGCAGAGAAAGCCTAGTCCTGCTCAGCTTCCCCCACACTCACTGAGCTCTCCAGAGTGCACAGGAGAAGGAACCACAAGACTCAGGTAAACTTCAAGTACAAACTTTATTTCTATTACAAGGATGTTAATAATTATAATAATAAAATAAAAAGAGGGAGAGGGGGCTCTGAGACTTGGTTTATAGTTATGTCACAGAGCTTAGGCTTCAGTCCCAGTCAGGCAGAGCCCAGCAAGGCCCCAGGAGGGACAGGGAGTCCCTCACTGTCTCCATCAGAAGGCAGTAAAGACAAAGGAGCCGTTTCCCCACCGAAACAGAAGGCAGTGATGCCAAATGCCAAAGAAGCAGATTAAAACAAAGCCCGAGTCCTTTCTAGTTCAACTCATCTCCAAAGCCTGTTCCTAATATATACTGCAACTGACCTGAACACCTTCTCAGAGCTGCTCCACACATAAACCAGAGTCCCAGTTCTAAAGTGGGGAGGGGCAGCACACAGGAGGTTACCCAAAAGTTCCCAAACTTAGGTCCCTGCAGGAAAAAGAATCGCTTTACTGGTGAATACCATGTTTCCACACCCTCTCCTCTCTCCACCAGGACCACACAGCACCAAGAAGCAGTGGTGACAGTATGTCAAAAGAGGAGCCCTGGTGGGCTGAGAGGCCATACGTTGTATTTGTGCTGCCAAAAGGCGGCAGCTAAAGCTGAAACAAGAAATCTCTTAACAGCTTCCCTGCTAGCCCTCCCTCCAACCCCCAAACTCCCACATCACAATCTCAAAAGACACAAAATGGTTGTATCTTTAAAAAAGTTAAATCTAAAATCTCCCCTCCCCAGAGCCCGAGAGGCAGGGCCTGCACTGCGGCTGCGCAGAGAAATGGAACCCTGTGCAGGTTCTCGCAGACACCATTACTCCTCCTCTTCCTCCTCAGCATCACCAGCTCCCTGTTGCTTGGGGGTTTTTGCCTATTGAAAACACAAACAAAGCCCACATGGAAAGTGAAAATTCAGGCAGTATACCTTCAGAGCTCTGAAAAGCCAAGCTTCCATAGAAACCTCTTCATCAAAAGGCAAACGAACAACCCTTCAGCCACAAGCGGCCTGTTGCCCAGCTCCTTCTCTGACTTCAAGAACCATACATACCACACCCACCCGCTCCCGAGTCCTCACTGAGCATTTCGGGGCTGGATCCCCCATTACCTTTGCAGTCCTGTTGCGGAAGCTGGCAGTTGTGGCGGTGACCCTTGAGTTCCTGCCACCTTCACTCCTACCACTGAAAGAGAAGGATTGGAAACTAGTTTCTAAGATGCCCCTGAGCAAAAGTCAGACCACTCAGAAGACGAACAGCTGGAACCAGACATAGCAGCTCTCTGTGAGCAGACAAAACAAACCAACAACCAATACCCAACAAACAGCAAGAGAACATTTTGGAATCAGGCCATAGCACAAGCCAAGTCCACACTCTCATGGTCTCCTGAGCTACTCACAAGCTCCACTCCTGAGCTATTATTACCTTGGCCCATGTCTCCCTGAAGGCCCACGGGAGAAAGAGGGCGCAAGGTTTTCTGGGTAGAGATTTCGAACAGAGCGAATCACTGGAACGTGCCCAGCAGCCATGGGCCCATTATGGCCGTTTCGATTCCGCCCCCGAATGTCCTGGCTGTCTAAGTTGTTGAGCTTCATTACGCTGGGCTGGGAACTAGATTTAGGGCTTGATGTGGATGTTGACACACGGTTACAGGTAGCCATCATATTGTTAATGGGTCTGCTAGGGGGAAGAGGGTAAGTGGGCACTTTAGCAGTTTCCTGCTTAATATCATCCATGTAACCAGAAGACAGGTCTCCTGCAAAGAGAAGAGAGAACCAGTTTTAGGGGAAAGACTGCTCTTGCTATTAGTGCTGGAGTTGGAGCAGGAACATGAAGATTCTGGGTAGAACAGAATTCTGGGTAGAACTGCCTCTCATCTAAAGGCTGCTGAAACCCAAGTGTCCGGACAGGGTTGGGACCACCTTTGCCCACACTTTATACTTATTATTTGAGTCCTCATATAACTAACCAACAATGATGTGTAAGCAAACCTTGAAAAATAATGTCTAACTGGCTTTGTAGCGAGTTTGAAAAACAGTTTACCTGCCTAGTCTCTGAGACTCTTTAATAATAATGATGATGATGACTGAATACCCTAAGCAAATTTCAACTAGAGGCAGGGGCCGAAAAGTTATCTCCAAATAGTCCACTGATGAAAGCTACAGCTGAGCAATCACTGACTACCAAGCCAGAACCCTCTAAGCCTACACTCAAGACCGCTCAGTCTAACATGGGACCACAACCGCTAGTAGCGAGATCCTTCTGTACTTGGTTCATGATTCAGGGGACCCCCATGTTAGAGCAGCGGATGAGAAACGGTAAACAGGCCCGTGTCAGCAGCAGACCTGCAGCTTTGGCTCAGCCCTGGCTAATACCCTGGTGTCTGACACGCCTCTTGGGCAGCTCTGGTGAGGTCTCTCGAGACTGGAAATCCTGTCTAGGAATCTCCTCCATCACATGGTGGTTTGCTGTGGCTGGGCGTTGGTCACACTGGTCCTAACAAAACAAAACAAAAATTAGTATCTCCGGGCGGAGTCATTTCTTGGAGAGGGAGCAGTGGGAAGGAAGGAAGGACCAGCAGGTTAGGGGAACACACCTTATTCGGGGTCTTAAACAACCACTGAAAGGAAGGGCCTAAGACTAAGGAAACGCATCTAGAAAGGAGCAATCATTGCTATTAGCACCCAAGGCACTGAAGAAGCACTGCCTGATTTGTGCAGGGATCAGGAAGGGCTGGTGTCAAGAGCCTTAAAAAGTATATCTATACTTCGACCACAGAGTATTTGCATGGTTGCTTATTTCAGAATCTCCCGTAGGAGACAACCAGCAGTCATTTATCTACTGCTTGATCCAAAAGCAGAAGTCTTATTTACACGAATGGAATTTATGGTGTTCTAGCAACAGCTATATGGCATCAACTACAGAAACGATCCTGAACACACCTGGAGTGTTAGCTTCCAATAACAAATAGGGAGTTGGCAGAAAATTGTATTCCCTACTAACAGATCTGAATCCTAGCAAAAGCTGAGAAAGAACTTCAAACTGTCTAGTCTAACTCCTTCATTTACAGATATCCCCAGTGAGGGAACAGGATCTACCCAAGGTCAATAGTAGAACTAGCCCCGAGGTCTCCTGAAATGCAAGCCTCAAATACCACCACAACAGAAAGAATCCGCCTGATCAAAAGTAGAATATCTTAGTGACATCAGGAGAGCGCTCATCTCAACCATGCTGACAAGTCCTCCACACCTGCATAGGAGTCCTGACTCCTTGGTCCTTAGCTAGTGACATGATTTCAGTTGCCAGATGGTAAAGAAAGCTCACAAAACAGGGCATGTCCAGTAGCCACGTCAGATATGCATGCAACTTAAACACTAAAGAAGCATTCTCAGCTCTGAAAGCCCCAGGTTCACTCACGGGTTCTCCAGGGACTTTTACCTGGTGATGGAACAGCACCTCCTCTTCCAGCTGGACCCCACAGAATTCACATGGGATGATGATACCGCCCTCCACAGAGGGTGCATTGCTCAGGCCCATCAAAGAGTTAAACTGGTTACTTGTAGCCTGCTGCAGAAACCTCTGGAAGATGACATCAGGGTCCTCCTGCACCTCTTTGAGGGAAGTACTACCCATGTTAAATGAAGGTAAGGCACGGGAAGGGTTACAGCTTGTCTGTCTCAAAAAAAAAGGGGGGGGGAGGAAGGGGGTTAAAAAAAGTTTAAAAAATTACTAAAACATTTTCTAGGAGTCACAAAATTTTAGTAAGGCTTAATACTGATGAGAGGAACTAGAAAGGGTCAGGGAAATGCAGATGGAATGCTCACTTTACTTTTAAACATTTCTGTGCTTTTCCCCTTTTCACTGTGTTCATATGATTATTCTTTTTAAATTAATTGGAAAGATTCAAGATTCTTCTCACAACCACATAGCGAGAAAGAACCAAATATTCTTTCTTATCCTGTTAATGGATTTTCTTATGCTGCTCCCAAAGCAAAAACTACGTTTATTTAAATATGTATTATTCCACTTATGGGGTTGCTTAAGTTTTGGAAATGCTAGACTAAGCCAATCCAAATCAGAGCAAGAGTATTGAGGGAAAAAATAGTTCCCTCCACTAGGCAATCCTAAAACAAAGTCTAATATTCTCTAATTGTTCTTAAATGGCTCAAGAACTTTCCTTTAAAAAATATCTGACACCTTTCATATACCAGGTATTAAGATTCAGAAACTAGGAAAACCCAGAATCTGTCCTCAAGGAATTCAGCCTAGTGGTGCAGATGACGGAATCAGAAGACACCACGTCACAGGGTGACAGACTAAAAGAGAAGTGGGCACTGAACGTTTAGGGTGCACAGAGGTGGGACCTCTGACCTAGTCTTCAGAGCATCACTCAGGATGGTTTCTTGGAGGTTGTGTCTGAACCAAGTCTACGAGTAAGGGGTCTGTTGAGGAGGCAGGGGTGGAGGCCACATGGCTTCCAGGCAGAAAAAGTAAAGTGCAAGGACCCCTGACCCTTCCAGGGAACTGCGAGGACTTCAGTACAGCTCCAATAAACAAAATGTGGCACGAGATGAGACCAGATCACATATGGTCAGTACAGACATAGAGTAGTCACCACATGGAGGGAGCAAACTGGGCCTGCTGGAATGAGCATTACTTTTTCCAAGAGTAAACATGACTACGTTCTCATAGCCATATGTCAGCCACATCATGGTAAATAAAACACAGTCGCTACTCCTATAACAGGCCTATTAAAATAGTTGGCTAAGACCTCATGTGGCCTGCAACACCAACTGTGGCCTGCACACGTTCCTACTTAAAACTCTCCGGGAATTCACAACACACCTGATGGTCGATCAGCAATTCCTCTGGGTAGAGCTCCTCACAAAATTCACAAGGCAACATGGTCTCATCAGCTGCACCTGGGTATCAGAGGCCACACAGATGCCAATGAACAAAAACAGATTTGATTCAACCTGTTATTCCCCTGGTGGGGTTTTAATTCAAAGTGTGACTCCCTTCGATATTTCAGAGATGGAGCAATTTGTGGGGCTGTAAATCCTCCCAGGGAAACTGCCCAAGAGACAAACCCCAAGCAAAAAAATGCCACTATGGAAAAAGATTTACTGGCCGCCATTCCCTGAGTAGCTAATATTAAAGTAGTCACTGACCACTACTCTCTTTAAGAAAGAAGTTTAAATGTGCAATAACTCTAGGCACTAATCAGCCGTATGTGCATTATCTCAATCCTCAGGACTCATGAAGCCTGGCCACTATTGCTCAGTGGTTGGAGCTCAATTCCCAGTCAGGGAACATGCCCAGGTTTCAGGTTCAATCCCCGATAGGGGGCCTGCAAGAGGTAGCCGACTGATGATTCTCTCTCCCTCCCCTTCCTCTCTCTGAATTAAGTAACTAGAGTTTGGCCTTTACATGGGTTTGAGTCCAAAATCTACATTTATGACTTTTAAAAACCCAAGCCAAAAATCCAGTTTAAAACTGTCCCCATCAATAGTATCCCAGGTGCCTGCTAGAAGCATATATAAGTATTCTGAGGAACACATCAGAAAACTCAATGCTAATTTGTGTGAGTGCATATAGAGAGGGAGGCAGCAAGCCACCATGAGTGAGTCAATAGAAACAACAAAGACCAAAAAGAGTTTGATATATTTTCAGACACAATATAAAAATAACACATTTAAAGATACATTAAAAGGGAATTGTAGTATGACTAAGGTAAAAGAGATTACTTTGAAAATGATGAGACACACTGAAGAAAAATGACAAATATATGTGTATTTACTTAGAATGCCGTTCTTGAAATATACATCCTAAAGTATGTAGAGATAAAATGTTATACCTGCAGTTTATTCTCAAATAGCTCAAGGGGAAAAATTATAAAGATCAAAGAAAAATACTAGAAATGGTGAATAAAGATGAGGGGTATATAAGATATTTGCTATACTATTTTCTAACAGTTTTTAAAAATAAAAAGTCGGAAAAGCAATGAACAAACAAAAGAGGCAAATTTGATCTCATGAAAAACTTTCGTTTTTAAAATAAGTTGTATAATGTAAGAAACACACATAACTGTGGAGACAGAGGCTAGTGAAGATAAAACAAACCTACCCTTGATGTCATTCAGAGCATTGGGACCACCAAGGGACTGCTCTGCCTCATACACAGCCCTCCAGAAGTCCTGCTCTGCCAACTTGGGGGCCCGGCCTTCATTCTGCAGACTTAGGGCCAACATGAAGTCCAAGTTTGAACTGTCTTCACCACCCTCTACAGGGGACTGTCGGCTTCTACTCCTTTCTTGTTCTTCCACTGGAGGGAAAAAAAAGTAAACTAGTTCTCAAGATACATTAGAAATGCCATGCTTTAGCTCAAGTCCATGCCTACAAATATGCCCGGCTTATAGCATCTATGCAGGAAAAAGGAGGCCCAGCCCTCCGGTTCTCACAGGACTCCAATATGAAGTATGCCATGATAAAAGGTTCCAATACTATTTTAATTGTGTTATTAATAAGCAATATTATTGAGTTTTGGCTATGAGACAGGCACTGTGCTAAACACTTTATGTGTATTTTCTGCATTGTATAATGGTTTACCGCATGGGGTCAGATTGCCTGAATTCAAATCCCCGCTCTACCACTTACTTACCTACCCTCATGAGACTCCTGTGAGAATTAAACAGATTTTGATAACCTTCTAATCCCAAACACAACTCACATAGATTATTCTGAATTGGAAACTGGGTTGTCATGTTCCTTTGGTTGGTAGTCCTACTATGGGAAAGTTCCGATTCTGAGGCTCTCAGGGGCCGTCGAGGTAGCCTCAGGGGTGGATCCAGAGACTCAATTTGTCTGAGGAGTTGTGATGCAATCCATATTCCATCTTGACCCCAAGACACATCATATGCATTAGGAGGCACGGCAGCCTCATCTCTCTTTTTCTCCCCATCTCTCCTACAAACTTCTGGGTGAGTCTTCAGATCTTTCACCAGGACATTACGCCCACAATTGCCACAGAGCTCTGTCCGGGCTCCACAGTAATCTTCATGGTCCTTCAGTTTGAGAACAGAAAGTTCCAAATCACAGTGCTGGCAAAGGGCAAGCCGCAGAGGACACTCAGTCTCCTGCAACACAGAGTAATGAAGCAGTTAATATGCAAATCTAAGAGAGGCCACGTTTTAGTACAGGGCAAGGAAAGCAAAAAAGTATTTACTTCAATATTCTCTTCCAACCCTAGCCTCACCCGCCTACCATGTTTTTCTATGAAAGGGAAGAAAACTTTAAAAGGAACCTACTCACCCAACCACCCTGACTTATTCTGTGCACACATTACAAAGTTACCCAAAAGCAGCGAGATAAGCCCAGCAGCAAAGAGCAAAAACCTAACAATTCAGACAGGTCTGTGAAAGCTCCACCAGCCCAATTTCCCTTTACCGTTCCAATTTGTCTTCAGATTTGGTAATGCGGGAAAGAGAACGCCTTTGAGAAAGACACTGATTTGTCTAATCTGCATATCTGTATTACAGCACTGACTTTATATTGACCAAATAAGCCAAATATCACCAGTGAATATACTGTATTCGGAAAATGAAGGACATGTCACTGATTTAAGTTACTCAACAGCAGAAGAGCAAATAATTGCTGGCACTTACTAGATAATATAGTAAGCACTTTAACAACTCTAAAAAGTGCTATTAACTCACCAGAACAGCAGATAAAGTTAAAAACTTTATTTAAAGGAAAAATTTTTTAAACTCTTTAACTCTGGCCTACACTGTCATAGTTTTATTTGCAGGGATGTTAGGAAATAATCTGTACTCAAATCTTTAAAATAACGGCTATATCACCAATGTGAACCCCAGAAATAGCTGGGAGAGAAGCCAGAAGAGGGGGTAGTTGATTGAAGGTTGTTTACGTAGCGGGTAGACATTAGATCCAAAGAAATACTTATTATTATTGTTAATGTGACCTCAATCGTAGGTCAAATGCTTAGAAAAAATAATAAAGGTAAGAGTGCCAAAGTATTTGTGAGACATTTATCTCTAAGCTGTGGGGTTACAAGTGATTGTTTTCTTTTATATCTTTTCTAATTTTTTTCCTTGAATATAAATTACTCTTTAAAATTATAAATTAACAAGTTAATTTGTTTGAGACAGGATGAAATGCACAAATCTTAAGTTGCATACCTTGATAAATTTTTCAACAATGGACAGTTTTATCTCAACTAGGGACCAAATGATACTATGTTCTCTCTCACCAAATGCTCTCTGAGAACTTTCTTTAGGTGTAAACAGCATGATATCCAGATGATCCAATCAAAATGAAGTTACAAGCTGCAAGGCAGGTGTGGATAAGGGGGTCATACCCATTGGCAACCCCCAATCTGGATTAGCACTCAGAGAGGCTGCAAAGAGCCAAACCCCAGAATGGGAATGACAGACTCTGAGGCCTGAGCATGGGGCACAACAGCCATGCAGCAGATCTGGCAACAAACAGAGCCTCAGATAGGCTTTGAGAGGCGATGTGCACCGATCTTGTAGAGAAGAGACAGCCAGACTAGCTTTCTGTTCCGCATGTGGCTCTGTAATCTCACGCTTGGCCCCATAGTAACTCACTCCCTTCGTTGTACAGGGACACTAACCTCATGATTCTGTAACTGCCTCTTCTCCAACTTCTTGTTACATTTGCAGGTTACCTAGGATAAATAGTAAAAAACAATAAATTGGCTTTGTGAGAACTTGCTCACTGGCTATGGTGCAATAGCAAGTATAACACATTAATGAACATTTGAGTCCTTAGTGGTCACCTGACAGTGTTCTGTAGCCATGTGGGTCTCCATGCCAGATTTGGGAAATGGTTCCTTGCAGATAGGGCACACACCAATGTTCCTTTGACAATGGATCTCATGGATGGTAAAGTTACACAAAGGAATTTCCCTTTTGCTATAGAATTAGATCAAAGAAAAGGCAAGCATTACTGACTGATCTAGTCACAGTTGTTATCACATGAAAATCTGTCTTGTCCAATCTTTATTCTCCATTATTTCCCTTTAACGAATATCTCGTCTATTAGCTCTTATGATTGTTACTACCCCTGCCTTTCAAGAATCAACTCCCGAAGGTTTGAGTCTTCTGTGCAACACTATGAATTATCACTGCTATACACTAATTCTAAAAGCTCAACCTCACTTTCTAGATGTCAGAGCTGATCACAACCAACACATGAAGTCAGATAGATGCCAAAAAGAGCTGAGCTAGGTTTTTCCAAAACCATCCATTCCCCAAAGCACAATGGTACACTTCAGTATTATTTTTTAAAAAACACACAAAAAAACCTACCATTTATTTTCACTCTCAGTCTGAGATTAGATTTATTCCACTAAAGGTCAAACCAGGCTGTTGGAGCTACTGCATCAACCTCTATGTTTGATCCTTTGCAATGTCTACCAGAGAGGTCCCAACAGCAATGACCAATAGCAGCAGAAGGCCCAATAGTCTGCTGGCTATAATTTCTCAGAGCAAGGACAATTTGTCCCTCCAGACATGATGCAGCCATAACAGCCATACACTGGGCAGATTTTCCAGCCAACATAGGCATATAGTCCAACTACACCTCAGCCATTCTATGGAAACAACTCTGAGGATGGGCCACCTTTAGTACAAGAATTAGGTATCAATTCTGACTACGTCTGGCAAAAGACACTTACAGTGTTAAATCCATTCAAAGTAGCACATGGGCCCTAGCCGGTTTGGCTCAGTGAACAGAGCGTTGGCCTGGGGACCGAAGGGGCCTGAGTTCAATTCTGGTCAAGGGCACATACCTCGGTTGCAGGCTCCTCCTCAGCCAGGGCCCTGGTCAGGGCACGTGCAGGAGGCAACCAATTGATGTGTTTCTCTCACATCGATATTTCTTTCTGTCTTTCCCTCTCTCTTCCATTTTCTCTAAAAATTAAGGGAAAAATATCCTCGCGTGAGGATTAAAAACAAGTAGCACATGGAAGCATCATGAATAAGACTGATTTGGCAGGACCAATGTTTTCTTGGCCCTGTCTTTGGAGCCACATTGTTACTGCCTGGCAAAATCCAGTAGGCCATGCTTATGGATGGGATCAGTGCAACTGAATGTCTAGAAATGTGTGAGTTTTTAAAATATATTTTTATTGATTTCAGAGAGGAAAGGAGAGGGGGAGAAACATCAATGATGAGAGAGAACCATTGATTGGCTGCCTCTTGCACGCCCCCTACTGGGGATCTAGTCCACAACCCGGGCATGTGCCCTTGACTGGAATGGAACCCAGGATTCTTCAGTCCACAGGCCTATGCTTTATCCACTAAGCCAAACCAGCTAGGGTGAAATGTTTTGTTTTTTAAACTTAATGAGTACGACATGTGTTTAATTTGGCTGTGTGGCAAGTATCCTGGATAATGTCTTCTTCCAACAATCCTACTTTCCAGCTTTGCAGTGATTTTTTTTTTTTTTTTAAGCAGGATGGTACAGGAATCATCTCACTGCTCGAATTATTAGATGGTATAGTTTTTCTGCTTCCAAAATTTTTATTTCTGCATTGGACTTATTGTGATGAACACTTTGTAAGGTATATAAACACTGAATCACTATGTAGTATACCTGAAACTAATATATTTTGTTAACTATAATTTAAAAATAAATTTAACAAGAATATATATAGATTCAAACAAGAGACATATAGTATTCAAAGGCCTAACCTTTTATTCATTTGGATCTGACAATTGGAAAACTCCAATTTCACAGGCTAGCTAAAGAAAAGACTACATTAAAAGAAGGTGCCTAGCCGTAACCGGTTTGGCTCAGTGGATAGAGCGTTGGCCTGAGGACTGAAAGGTCCCAGGTTCGATTCAGGTCAAGGGCATGTACCTTGGTTGCGGGCACATCCCAGTAGGGGGTGTGCAGGAGGCAGCTGATCAATGTTTCTCTCTCATCGATGTTTCTAACTCTCTATCGCTCTCCCTTCCTCTCTGTAAAAAATCAATATATTAAAAAAAAAAAAGAAGGTGCCTATGTCATCCAGAATAAAATTGCAGACAAAATACTTATACTTGCTTCCTACCTACAGATAAAATAAAGATGTTTTAAAGTGAGATAAATGAGAACACAATTTTATATATTGATAGAACTGCTAAAAACCCCAAGATAGAACTAGCAAGTTAAAGATAAAATTTCATTTTAGATAGAAATGATTGCAAGGCGAGCCAAGACTTCATGAAAAATTCCCAGCCCTAGCTGGTTTGGCTCTGTGGATAGAGCCTTGGCCTAGGGAACTGAAGGGTCCCGGGTTCGATTCTGGTCAAGGGCACATGCCCAGGTTGCAGGCTCAATCCCCAGTAGGTATGCAGGAGGCAGCTGATCGATGATTCTCTCTCATTATTGATGTTTTTCTTTCTCTCTCCCTTCCTCTCTGAAATAAAAAATATATTTTAAAAAAAGAAAAATTCACAGTAGCCTCCCAAACAATAAACATAACAAGCCAGAAACAAATCCTTTAATACATGCAAAAATAAAAAGCTGAAGGAAGTTTCTGTTCCCTAGAACCATTCTCTTCCCAATCAGAAGACACTTTAAGAGTTAACATGCAAAAACATCTTTTCTAATCACAACTACTTTTTTTAATATTTTTTTTATTTATTTCAGAGAGGACGGAAGAGGGAGAGAAACATCCAGGATGAGAGAGAATCATTGATCGGCTGCCTCTTGCAAGTCCCCCACTAGGAATTGAGCCCACAACCCAGGCACATGCCCTTGACTGGAATAGAACTCGAGACCTTTCAGTTCGAAGGCCAACGCTCTATCCACTGAGCCAAACCAGCTAAGGCCAAACTACTCTTTTTACTGGTCTAATCGCAGCTCATATTTTGAAGAGTACCTTAATTTTTCTTCGAGAATAGGAATATGGCTCTAAAGACAAAATTTTAAAACCCAGAATTTAGACAGGGTTACTTAGATGGGAGGTCTGTGCTGGCTTAGCCTCCCATGCTAATCTGCTCTTTTCTTTAAATAAATTGCTTTCACTTTGAATAACCTTGTTTTCATTAGCTTTCCATTAACTACCTCCCCCCCTTTTTTAATTCCTTTGGCAGTTATTTATAGATTGTTCTAGGTTTGAGATTCCAGTGTTGTTCAGTTGATGGGGTGTCCTGTGCACCAAAGATTGCTAGTTGGATTCCCAGTCAGGGCACATGCCTGGGTTTCATGCTCAATCCCCTGTAGGGGGTGTACAGGAGGCAGCCAACTGATGTTTCACTCTCATATCCCTCTTCCTTCCTCTCTCTCTATAAGTCAATTTTTAAAATATTTTTAAAAAGAGTATCTTAACTGATGCTAAAATCATATGTTTTCTTATAAAACCAACAGTGATATTTGCTTGTAATTATTTATATCATTGATTACTTTGTATTAGTAACTATATATATAAAACTCAAACAAAGCTAAAATACAAAATTGTTTTCAAGAAATGAAATCTTAATTCCATTCAGGGAAAGAATATTGTGACCAACAGCTGCTCTGATTATATCCTAATTCTGCCAAAAGACTGAGAAGAAAAAGGCGATAAAAAAAAAGAAAAATTGTTATTTGACTTGAACCTTTCATCAATCTACATCAAACTATTTCCCTTATTAAATATCTCTTTCCTCCTACCACAATTTGGTAAGTTAAACATAATAGGCACTTTTGCTTTCCTTAGCTTTAGTAAGAGCACTTGTATACCACTAAAATATACAAGTGCTCTTGAGAAACCCCAATCAAGAATCAGATGAGCTGCACTCCTAAGTTTCACTTTAGCAGAGTTGCTCTTTCTTGTCACTCACGTGGGTTAAAAACTCCAAAATAGAAAGCGCAACATTCGAGACTACGTACAGTCTTCACTTAACAGTTCCGGAATCATGAAATGATAATGATTAATCTGGACTGCCAGAAGTCTTTAGACTTTTTTATTTTTTTAAAGCAATTGAACATTCTTCCAGCAAAATCCTTTATAAAAACAGTTCAGCTACATTGGTCCAAATGCTCTCTCACTACTATATTTAGAGCCAAGATCATTAACCCTTGCTCCCAATCAACCCCTAGACAACAGCCACTCAGGGAAATCCTTGCAACATACTTAAAAAACAAACAAACACATTAACCACCCTAGCCGGTTTGGCTCAGTGGATAGAGCCTCGGTCTGTGGACTGAAGGGTCCTGGGTTTAATTCCGGTTAGGGGCACTAAAAATATATACATTTTTTAAATTAACCTAGTCCAACATTTTTATTATGTATATATTTTTTAATATACTTTTTTTGATTTCAGAGAGGAAAGGAGAGGGAAAGATAGAGAGAAGCATCAATGATGAAGAGACAATCATTGATCGGCTGCCTCCAGCACACCCTCCTACTGGGGGATTGAGCCCGAAACCCAGGCACGTGCCCTTGACCAGAATCAAACCCAGGACCCTTCAGTCCACAGGCCGACACTCTATCCACTGAGCCAAACCAGCTAGGGCTTACAATATTTTTAGTATCTTTTTAAAAAACGTATGATGATATTTTCCAGAAAGGCAAAAAAATAAATTCCCTTATTTATAGGTCAAAAAAGTGAGGCCCAAAACATTCGGTGACATGCCCAAAGTCATTAACTAATTAATTAAATGCAGGAACCAAAGTTCTGAGGCCCAGCTTCATTCTATCACTCTAATCACTCACTACACCACACTATGATAGCTAAACCAACTATTTTGTCAAATTACCAAAATAGGCAATATTATCTAAAATTGTTAAAAAGGCTTCAGAACTATATGTTTGCAGGACAAATTATATGATTCTAATTTTAACCTGCCAATAAATAAACCAACCCTTTACAGAAGTTAGTTTATCCTCATTCCAATATTTCTTAGATTAATTTCTTACCAGTTGTCACACAGTTGAGTGTCCTGGTCATCTAGAAATTCAGCCATCTTTAGCTCTTCCAGAAAACTACGAAAGTAGAAGTGAGAACTTTCAATTTCATTTCTGCTTTAAGGATGACAAGCAAAACACACACACACACGCACACACACACACACACACACACACAGAAACAGTGCACAGAAAATGTCACAAAAACTAGTGCATTTTATTTAATACCCAACACATGGGTTTCACCTTGTTTTTATTTTTGTTTAACTTTTAGTTTAAAATAATTTGACTTGCCGAAACCGGTTTGGCTCAGTTGATAGAGCATCGGCCTGCGGACTGAAGGGTCC